GGAGAAAAGAGACATGGCAGTTGGCTGAGAGGTGTGTGTGATAGGTGTTCACACGGGATGCTTTGTTCTGGTGCCTGCCCTTGACCTCACCGTCAGGTCAGGCGGGAGTGCCTGTCTCTGAGCAGCCTGTCCCCAGGATCTGCTCGTTCATTCTCTCCCATAAATTTGCCTGCACATTAAGGAGGTGTGTGGGGTCCAGAGCATATTAGTTCAGACCAGTGGGCATTACCCTAGAGCAGGATAAGGAAAGATCCTCTCCCCCAGAATTTTGAGGAACCCTAAGATGCACCCCCAAAGTGTCTAGCAAACTGTGCCCTTTTATACTTGTGGAGTGCTCTTTATTTGTGGCGCCCTCCCTGCTGCCCAGGTTGGAGTGGAATTTCTTGGGAGTATGTGACCTGCACACCCATGACTTCATCCATCCACTACCTATGGGAGAGCTCTCTTCAGGACTCACATCCGCTAAAAACCAGGCTAATTGTCGTGGTGCTTCAGAGGATGTAACACTGAAGTCTCTTTTTTATAACATTCCAAGGGCTTTACCTGCCTTCTAATTTTACTCATAAATGCCCTCTGCAGTGGGAAGTTGGGGCCTAACTCACCCATTTTAACAGATGGGAAACTGAGACCTGGAGGGTGGTGTACTTAGCCCATACTCTGAGTCAGGTGTAAAGTTAGGACTAAAACTCAGGGATCCCAACTCCCAGGAACCTTTTGAAGGTTGAAAGTTCAGCTTTTATGTTGTTCCCCCCAGACTAACTGACTCTTCATTCCCTCGACAGGACTAGTGGTGGTGAATCATTACCTAGCATTTCAGTTTTTTGCGGAGGAATATTATCCTTTCTCAGAGGTAAGAAGTGTTTAGTACATGAAACTACTAACAGGAACAGAGGATAAAGGGAACTTGCATGATTTGCTCTGTGAACCTAGCTAGGATTTGAAACTGAGTCCATTGAGGGATAACACATTTTTAAAAACTTAGTACAGATGATTTTAGAAAGCAGTGTGGGTGAGGAGCCGGGACCCTTTCGGCTGAGATGGGGCAGACACTGCCTTCCCTAGTGAGTCCTTTGGGTCTCCAAGGGTCCTGGCCTAACACCCTGAAGTCAGGGTCAGTGGGACAGCCTTGTCTGATGCAGACTTCACAGGGCTGCTGTGAGCTGCAGCCCCAAACCCCCGCTCCTCCCAGTGCCCTGCCAAGGCCTTCTCCTCTCAGCATTCCTTCACACCCTGCCACTCCAGTCTGCCCCTGGGGAAGGACAAGGCCACTTCTCTGGGGAGTGTGGGTCAGTCATGCTTTTGCCCTCCATCTCCTTCAGTTTAGAGGAGTTCCTTTTCCTAGCGACCAAGACTTGGGGATTGTGGCCACACTCAGTCACTTCCAGCCTCCACCATTCCCCACTGTACTATCTCCATGTCTGAGGATGTCCTGTCTCTGCTTCCCAGGCCCTGGCCCCCTTCAGAGATCAGGTGTGGGGCTTCTGTGCACTCTTGACCACCTCTCTAAGATACAGGATGACCATGCCCAGCCCACCCTTGGCACCTCCAGGGGCACCCTCTTCTTAGTGTCTCTTGTTGCTAGGTCCTGGCCTATTTCACTTTCTGTCTGTGGATAATCCCGTTTGCATTCTTTGTGTCACTGTCGGCTGGGGAGAACGTCCTGCCCTCCACCATGCAGCCAGGAGGTGAGAAGGGGTTTGTGAGGGGTCACGGTGGGAGGACGCCAGCAAGGCCTGAGCCGGCTGGGGGAGCCAGAGCCCAGCCCTGTGATGGACACACTTGGGTTTCAGGTGGGGAGAGCTGTGCTCACTTTCAGACACACACACACTCATCTTCTTGCCTGTGTCTCCACAGATGACGTGGTCTCCAATTACTTCACCAAAGGCAAGCGGGGCAAACGCTTAGGGATCCTGGTTGTCTTCTCCTTCATCAAAGAGGCCATTCTACCCAGTCGTCAGAAGATGTACTGACCCCCTTGGGGAGGGGATGTGGGGGCAAGATCTGGAGTGTCAGGCCCCTGGGCCTCTGTACTAGGTAGGGGCTGTGAGCCTGGAAGGTACCTTCCCCCAGCCCTGGCCTGACTTCCTGCAACTCTCCCTGAAGCCCCCATCCCCACATTCCTCAGGATGCTCAGCTTGGCTCGGATCTGACGCTGCTAGAGGTCATGACCTCAGAGGCACCAGGGAGGGAGCAGAGCCTTCTTAGCTAGAGGCCGTGGTCCACCTGGTTGTGTAGAAGCTGAGCTCCCTGTGGCCCTCCCCACCCCTTCCATGCTGGGTCAGGAGGTTCTGGCTCAGGCGGGGCAGGCAGGGCAGGGGCCATGAAGCTGGAGAGCAGAAAGTGATAAGTTCTTTGGGCAGATGGCCATGGGGCGGGGCCATGGCTTGGCAATTCCCAGAGAAATAGTTTTTGCTGTTGAACTGTGATTTCTGTCCAAGTCTGATTCCTGTTTGAATAAAGATTCTAGGTGGCACTGTTGCCTTAATACCCTGAAAGTTCATCTTCCTTTCTTCCTGCTGACCTTCTGCCCTGGACTGGATGGGCTTTTCTGCTCCAGGGGTTTCTTTTCTGGGATTGGGTCTTACCTTTCTTAAGGGACTGCTCTTATGGCCCTTAGTGGGAAGGGGGCAGAGATGAGCTGAGCCTGGTCAGGGGATGGGGCGTGGCAGGTGGAGGCAGCCTTTCTTATACCCCCCTTTTCTTCTCTCTCCTTTCCCCAAGGCTTCATGACTGTCAAGCCAGGGGCAGAGAAGGGACAGTTTGGGACTGGGTTAGATTTTCAGAGCAGCATCTACAATATCCTATTTATAAGTCTTCCCCTGGAGAAAAAGGAGTGGTTTCTGGCAGAATTCTTTGTCAGGCTCAAGGAGAAACAAAGTAAACTTGGCTTCCAGCAATCTGGGCTGCAGCCTGTTTTTAAAGAAATGGGACTGGTGAGAGAAGCCATCTGTCACTCTAAGAGTACACAGGCTGGCCCTCTTTGCTGTGTGCTCCGCTCCTGGGGAGATGACCTCAGGCTTCTAAGACAGGCAGGCCAGGTCCCAGGCACAGACCAGCATTTGTTAACCTTGCACTCCAACTACAGTGCCTTGCAGATACTCAGCAGTACATACAAGAATGAAGTCCCTGTGAGAGCCGTTACTGGCCATGTCTTATACCTCAGAGAGAGGGTAGCAGGTGCAGAGATGGACTGCACACATGTAGTATCTTTAAGCTCCTGGGAAGACCCGTGCTTGAAAATTTTTGTTCCACGTCCTGCCTCAAGTCCCAGTGTAGCCCTTCATTTCCTTGGCTTTAGCATTTCCTGTTCTCAGCAGCACCAGCCTTCCTCTCCCTGGGAGCAGCAGCACATTATCATCTCTCAATGGGAATGAGATGGCAAGGCCCTTTCATCCTATGCAGACAAGGGGGGACGAGGTAGAGGACACTGGGGACCGACATCATCCTCACTGCTGGGCCCTGCCCTTCCTTGCTGTCCACTTCTTTGTTCCTCACCCTGATGATGTGGCTTCACCCCTCCATTTACTCCATTGCCAGTGCTCTCGGGGGTTGCCAGTGGACTTTTTGTGCTAAACCCACTGAACCCTTTTCATATCTTACTGGGTCTCTGCATCTGACAGGGCTGATCACCCCCAGCTTCTTGAATTGCACTTCTGCGGCCGTTTCTCTTCCTACCTCTGTGGCTTCTCCTTCTGGTGTCCTCTGCAGGCTTCTCCACTCGCCCCATGCACAGTGGGGTTTCTCAGGGTCCTGTTGTGGGCTCCCGGGGAGCCCTTCCATGCTTATGGCTTTGACTCTTTGCCAAGGAAGTGATAGTTGACCTCCAGCCCCCACATCCCTCCTGGGCTTCTGAACTGCGGTTCTGCTGCCTTTGAGTACACAAACAACTTTCGTAGCCCAGATGGCATCTGCTGTCCTCTGCAAACCTGTCTCTTTCGGGTACCTGCTGTGGCCCCAATATCACTCAGGAGCCAGACCAGAAACCTGCTTTCTATCCCTGCTTACTTTTTACCCCCCACATCCAATCTCTGAAAATTGTCAAGTTTGCCTTCTTAACATCTCTTGGTTAGAGTAGAGCCACTCCCACTGTCATCAGCTGTCACCTGGATTATTGTGACAGCCTCCTCCTGTTTCTCTGTCACACAGCCAGAGTTGTCTTTCTAAAATGCATAGCAAGTCACTTCCTGGCCTACAACTTTCCATGGCTCCCCTCTTCCTTCAGGACAAAATCCAGGCCCTTAGCGTGGCTGAGACTTGTATCCTGCTTCCTGCTCGCCTCTCTGGCCTTATCACTAGCACTCTGGGTCCTGGCCTCATGTATCAAGATGCCATGTTGAGTCCCCTTTCTTTTCACCCGGGCATCTTCTCTGTTAGTTCTCAAGATTTTACTTCATCCAAGGAGCTTTGACTGTCCCCTC